TTCAGCTGCAAAGTATGGAATTGGCCACTCTTCCTAAAACCAGTCCCTCACTGGGGCGTGTGGGCTTTTTCAGTCTGGACCATGCCAGACTGTAATGTAGAGATTGGTGGGGTATTAGAGGAAGTCAGAAGTTTGTTGTGTTTTTTTTTTTTTTTTTCTAAGATTAAAACTAGACTTGTTAGATCTGCCAGGATGACTCCCTTAAAGGGTCAGGCTACCTAGCCCGTGGTCACCTCTCAACACCCAGGTGGGCCCCCCCACCCTGCCTTACTGAGGAGGTTCTGTGTGGTCTGTGGTGTCAGCACCAATGACACTGCAGAGAGGTCTGGCTTGACCAAGGTAGATCCATCCATCTGTACTGGGTGCAACGCTAGATTCCCGCTGCCCTTTGAAACTGGTGGGCAGTACTTGGTGTGTGTTCGTTGTTCCATTCTATCCTGCTTAATCTCCAAAATGTCCAAGATTGGCTCAAGTTTTCTCAGGTTCATTTTGCAAATGGGTGGTGTCCCTGCCCCTCCTGGGGGATCCTCTCCAGCAGAGCTGCCTCCAGAACCAACCGAAAATCCTAGAGTTTAAATCTTACGACACTGTATGTTGAAGCAGCACAATAGGCTGCCCAAACCATTTAATTTTGGCTTAAAAATGTAAAACTTCAAAAGATATGCACCATTGGGGCATCCATGGTGGTCCAGTGGGTAAGACCTCCAAATGCAGAAGGCCTGTGGGTTCCATCCCTGGTCAAGGAACTAGATCCCACCTGCTACAACTAAAGATTGAAACTTAAAACTCGGTAACAATGAGCCAATCAACAAAAACTTAGGCCCACAATTTGAAAATGGCTTTCACTAAAGAAGATACACAAATGCTAACAAGTATGTGAAGAGTTGCTCATCATTCTCCATTAAAGAAGACAAATGAAATCTCCATGCATAACCTGAGTCATTCCTGTGGGAGAAATACAGGGAATCAGAACCTCTGAGCCAACAGAAGAAATGTTCCCAAAAGTGCCCTCCAACAGCACTCTAGTCCCAGATCAGCTTCAACCCCTGGGCTATAGCAACCTTGGGACACTCTGATCCTTGGGCCAGACACAGGGGAATGGCTTGTTTTAACAGGCATTTCATTGCTCACTGAAAGTGGAAGAAAGTGCAGTTTCCCAGTGTCCGACTCTGCGACCCCATGGACTGTAGCCTACCAGGCTCCTCCCTCCATGGTATTCTCTAGGCAAGAGTACTGGAATGGATTGCCATTTCCTTCTCCAGGGGATCTTCCCAACTCAGGGATCGAACTGGGGTCTCCCGCTTTAACCTCTGAACCACCAGGGAAGCGGAGGGGGCAGTTCTGTACCTTCACATTTGCATTTCTGTTGTGAAATGCTAGGAAATGTCTGAAATCTGGCAGAGACAGGGAAATAGGCCCTCAGGTGATAACTAAAGTTGGCTGAAGTTTATTACTGAGCACCAAGACTGTTCACACTGCAGTTCAAAAAATTCAAGGTGGTGGTTTGTAACCAGCCTTGAAATAGTAATGAAATTGAAAAGAAATTTTAAAAAATCAGTGTATTATAGAAGGTGAAGGAGAGAGTTAAAAGACTTAAAAATCAGACAAGGAGACGAAGGCAGAGGAGGGTAAGACAGAGATGTGTGTTTGGTCACAATGCAAAAAAGATTTCCTACTGTGAGTTGTGATCAGCACCTAGAAGCTAAGGACCTAAACATTCCCAAATCGCCCTCACCCCCTCAGAGTGAAGCAGTATTTCTTTTACTTGCTCTTCTCTTATCATCAAAATCTCACCAGCTGCTCTTAGCAATTTGCATTGAGCATTTAAGACACCAGACAGGAAATCATACCTAATCTCACCACCTGGAGATTTAAACCACTAGGGCAATGTCATGTATCTCCTTCCAGGCTTTTTTTCTACATTAACTTTCTTACACAGTTTAGCACATATTGTAGACAGCAACTCCAGGTTCCCCTTTTTAAAAAACTAAATATAAATCCTTTCCAACTTATTCAAGAACTCTAGAATTTTTTTCTTCAAAAAATAAATTATAAAACAACTACAAGGTCACTGGGAGGAAGATGCAGCAGGTTTCAAAACAAAAAGTCTCTCTTCCTTACTGCTATCCCAGAGGGACTAAAACAGTGATTAAAAATGAACCATTCATCATTTATATGTGAACTCTAAAATAGGACACAAGTGAACTTACCTATGAAACAGAAATAGATTTCATAGAACAGAGAACAAACCTGTGGTTGCCATGTGGGGGGTGAGTGAGGGATGGATTAGGAGTTTGGGATTAGCAGATGCCAACTATTACATATAGAATGGATCAACAACTGTATGGCACAGGGAACTATATTCAATATCCTGTGATAAACCATAATGGAAAATATGAAAAAGAAGGTGTGTGTGTGTGTATATATATATATATATATATATATATATATATGTAAAATTGAATCACTTTGCTATATACTTGAAACACAGCATTGCAAATAAACTATAATTCAATTTTTTTTTTAATTGGGAAAAAAATATTTTGTGACCCCCTGTAGAAGTTTCTTAGGAGCATAGATTGTATATTCTAAATACAGTGCATAAAAAAAACTTTACTAGACTTGTAAGTGGGGAAAAAAACAACTCCTGTTTTCTTCTAGTATATAGCTTCTTTTCTTCATGGCTTCATTTCTCAAACCTACCTAAATTTTATCCCTACACATCAGAAATTTACGTTGGCATAAAGTAGGAGGTAGGGATCCAACTTTATTTTCAGATGGTTTCACACTTGTCCTAACACAAAATTACTGAATAGTTTGTAGATTCCCCAGGGATTTTAACTGCACCTGTCATCACATGCTAAATTCTCAGAGTTGTATTTATTTTAGACTTCCTAGAAGGTACATTTTAAATATTTACATCAAAGAAGTTAACTTTTTACTTAAATGTGACATAATAGTTGCTCAAATATTTAAATGTTTATATTGAAGAAACCAACTTTTATTTTTAAAAGAAATTGCATTTAACACACCCACACAAATATAATAATGTACCAGGATTTCTTTTTTCTTTCAGGATTTCTGTTTAAATGATTAATTAAAAGGCAATTCGAAGCAGAATAAAACATACATTTAAATCATATATATTGATTATGAACTCAGTGCAACTTTGTACATTGAACTGGAACAGTCTAGCAAAAGCCTAAATTTGAGGTCTTTGGTGACTGCGATGCCTTAGCGAGAGCGCTGGGAAAATTCAGGCCATGACTTAATTAAGGAAAGAGGCATAAAACCCGTGCCAAAGTCAGGAGTTTGAATTCCAACAACGCCCAAATCAGGGTGTTACAAGACACCGGGTTGTTGCCATCACTGGCCAGAAGGGGGCCCAGTATGCAAAAAGTGCGAAGTGAACGTAAAAAGGACTCTGGTGTTCCTTCTTTAAAAGTTCAGTTAAGTTCATTCGCTCAGTCCTGTCCGACTCTTTGCGACCCCATGGGCTGCAGCATGCCAGGCCTCCCTGTCCATCACCAACTCCCAGAGTTTACTCAAAACTCGTCAGTGATGCCATCCAACCCTCTCATCCTCTGTCGTCCCCTTCTCCTCCCGCCTTCAATCTTTCCCAGCATCAGGGTCTTTTCAAATGAGACAGCTCTGGCCAAAGTATTGAAGTTTCAGCTTCTTCTACATCAGTGCTTCAAATGAACACTCAGGACTGATCTCCTTTAGGATGGACTAGTTGGATCTCCTTGCAGTCCTAGGAACTCTCAAGAGTCTTCTCCAACACCACAGTTCAAAAGCATCAATTCTTCGGCGCTCAGCTTTCTTTATAGTCCAACTCCCATATCCATACATGACTGGAAAAACCATAGCTTTGAGAAGACGGACATTTGTCGGCAAACTAATGTCTCTGCTTTATACTAAGATGTCTAGGTTGGTCATAACTTTTCTTCCAAGGATCAAGTGTCTTTTAATTTCTTTAAAGGTAGGTGATTAAGAAAGCTGGAGACAGATTGCTCAGGTTAAATTCCCAAATTCCCAACTATGCCTCAGCTTCCGCATCTGCAAAATGGGAATAATAGAACCATCCTTAGTGTGTTAGCACAATTCTGCGTACATGGTAATTGCTATTAGATTTTTGCTTTCCAAAAATTTGTAAAATAATAAATTGAAAATAATAATAAATTGATATTCAGATTTGGACCTAAACTGACCAACGCAGTAGATAACTAGCTCCATATGGCTATTTAACTCGAATAAAATTAAAATTAAAAAATGAGGTCCACAGTCACACGCACCCCACTTACAGTGCCAGTGGCTACTGTGTTGGACAGCGCAGACAGAAAACATTTGCATCATACTGGGGAGTACTATTGGACAGCGCTGTTCAACAATTAGCAGAAGGCCTTTTATTTTTTTAATTGAATTAAAATTTTCAACGAAACCACTCTCTGGGGAAAACACGGCCCACAGAAGAAAACGACTCTCGTTAAACTTCAGGAAGCTCATGGGCAGTGTCCTTCCCTCACAAAGATGGCGGCTTCGCAGCGCGTGCATGTTCCTGGCACTTTCTGGTCTCCCGCCCCGCAAAAAGATGGCCGCCGCCACAACACGTTCCCACCCTGCACGGACACAGACACGAGGTCCCAAACCCCACGCGGTCTCACTCATCTCAGAAACATGGCCGCCTTCCTATAACTCTCGCGATAACGTAGGCTGGTTAAGGTTGGCCACGCCTTCCCAACGTGACCTAGCAAGCCGGTGCGCAATGATGGCGTAAACTCTCGCGAGACAGTGGCCGCTTCCCGCCCCTCTGCCTTGAACATCATGGCAGCTTTCGTACTGTCTGCGAATCGCGTGCTTAGGTAGGACTGTTCGCCAATCAGAGTCTCTCCAAGGCACCGCCCCCGCCCCTTCATCGTCACTTCCTCTCTAACCCTTGTGCAGTCGATAAGGAAACCCGGACGCCCCCGCTGCCTTCCTTTTTTCAGGCAGTCGGGAAGATGGCGGACATTCAGGTATGGCGTACGGGCCGATGCCGACACTTCGGGGTCTGGGCTTCACGGGCGCGTCCTGGAGAGCGGGACTCCTCCCTCTAGTTTGGGGGTTAATTTCCCAGGGATTAATTCAGGCAGAGGGCCGTTGTCTTGGCGTTAATCTCGATTAGCGCCTCCTAAATGTTGGAGGCTCCGCATTTGGGGTATAACTTAAGGTTCAAGGATTTTGGAAGTTACCTTTTTAAAAATCAAGATTTACAGAGTACTTTTTTTTTTTTTGGAGGCCTTAGGCTGTAGGGTTAATCCTTTGAGAACTGACTTTAAGGGCCACTCCAGGGAACCCGTCAGTTTGGTATTTAATTTTGGAGCCGCATATGTTATTTAAGGAACGCATCCTGGTTGAATGTCTTTGTGTCTTGAATAATTTTTGTTGAATAGTTTTGGTGTTTGAGGCATGGTTTTGTATCGCTGAGGCTTTAAGGGCTGAATGCTCCAGGTGGTGAGAGGTGTTTTAGACCAGGCTGATGTAACTCTGCGTTCAGAGTTGAGTCTGAATTAGAGGTGTATTTGGGTTAGTGTCTTGGAAGATAATTCTGGGGCACTTGGCGTTGGTGGCCAGCGTTCAGGGAGTTAAATAACCGAGAAGATGGTATTGGGATTTTGTGAAGCCTTCCAGACCAGGTTGATGCCTGCTCGGGTCTTACCAGCTTCTTCCTTATCCCCATAGACAGAACGTGCATACCAAAAGCAACCGACCATCTTTCAAAATAAGAAGAGGGTCCTGCTTGGAGAAACTGGCAAAGAAAAGCTCCCTCGATACTACAAGAACATTGGTCTGGGCTTTAAGACTCCAAAGGAGGTACGGGCACCCTCAGAAGAGAGGAGACCCCTGTATCCCTGCACATGTGCCCCAACTGAATTAATCTATCCACATCGAAGCAGCTGCTGCTGGGAACTGTAGTTTGTGTGTTTAGAAAGACCACGCCCCTTGTTCTTTTCAGGAACTGTCTTCAGGGCTCCCTAACTCTCCTTAAAACCGACTCAATGGACATGGGTTTGGGTGGACTTCGGGAGTTGGTGATGGACAGGGAGGCTTGGCTTGCTGCCGTTCATAGGGTAACAAAGAGTCGGGCATGACTGAGCAACTGAACTTAATCCTCCTTATCCTTTCAGGCCATCGAGGGCACTTACATTGACAAGAAATGCCCTTTTACGGGTAACGTCTCCATTCGAGGGCGGATCCTGTCTGGTGAGTGAGGACCTCCGGGGGCTTGGGGTCAGATTCCTGGGTCTGTGGGAAGAAGGGCTGGGGACACTGAGGCTCCAGGTTCCTGGGTTGGGGAAGGGGTTGGCAGACTCCTGGTGACCCCGTGGGGATACTTTTGGCAAATGATGTCTACTTCACAATGGTCTTCAGACGCCCACCCTGGGCAGTGCTGAGAAGGCCACTTGGCACAGCTAATGCTGGAAGCAGAGCTTCCTGGGAACCCTGATCAGCGGCCCCCTGCTTCCCGGATGCTCTGGGCTGCCCATGGCTCCCTTGTCTGTGGGGCCTGACCAGGAACTGCCCCCCACGCCCCTCCCCCAGGCGTGGTGACCAAAATGAAGATGCAGAGGACCATCGTCATCCGCCGAGACTACCTTCACTACATCCGAAAGTACAACCGCTTCGAGAAGCGCCACAAGAACATGTCCGTGCACCTTTCTCCCTGCTTCAGGTGAGCCGGGTGGGCTGCCCTCCTGGGCAGAGAGGAGTGGGTGGGCTGCACAGGAGTGAGTGACCAGACCTGGCTGTTAATGGGACACCCTGGCTGTCATGTGGAGGTCATCAGCTGTTGGGGCGGGTCGTAAACGGGTGTCCTGTAACACTCTGTTTGTGAGCCTCCAGTGTCCTGCAAAACGGACATGACAGATGGAGGTCTTCTGTCCCTGGAAGGGTTGGACCATCCTCTGTGTGCCCTGGAGCCTTACACATAGTTTGTGCTCAGTCATTACCTGGGGGCAGGTGAAACTGGAAATAGGAGCTTGGTTTGGAGGAGCCAAAGCTGAGAGGCTCTGCCTAGAGACAGGAAGATGTCTTTAGGGCCTGCCGAGAGCAGAGCCTCCCCTAACCCAGCCCTGCTCCCCTCCACAGGGATGTCCAGATCGGTGACATCGTCACGGTGGGTGAGTGCCGGCCCCTGAGCAAGACTGTGCGCTTCAATGTCCTCAAGGTCACTAAGGCTGCTGGCACCAAGAAGCAGTTCCAGAAGTTCTGAGACTGGACCTCTGCCCGCTGCCCCAAACATAATAAAGATATTTTTCCCGTCACCGGCAGGCTCTGGCTGTCTGTGCCCCTACAAGAGGGAGGGGTCGTCCCCAGGAATTAAGTGGGGTTGTGGAAGGTGGGATTCGTCTTTATCTTCTGGGGGCATAAAGATGGGGACCACATCCTGCCTCCTGCCCCCACGTCTGGGTGAAGACAACCTGTATCAAGATGCCGCCCTCCTCTGGTGTTTTGGTCTTTGTTACCTTTTGGTGTTGCGCACATCAGGCCTTTCTACCTGGTGCTGAGCTCCCCCCGCAAGTCTCTGGGGAGGAAGTGAGTGAGGGTGGAGGTTCCTGGGTTCTCTAGACTTTGAGCCTTTTCTGGTCTCTGAGGGGAGGGGGAGGAAGAAATATCCGCCCTCTTGACCTTGCTGGGTGTCAGCGTCGGTGGGTTGGGTGGGCTTGGGTTCAAAGCTGCCTGTTTGGGAGTTGAAGGTCTTGATCTCAACCTGGGATTGTCTTCTGATGGGAAAGCAAGGCACCCACTTTCCCCCTGCATGTCCCGCCATCCCCTCCTAAGTGAGCACCATGCCCCTTTGCAGATGAGCGCACTTATTTGAGAGGGCAAGTTCTCTACCTGGGGTCCCAGGAAGTAGCTGAGCTGCAGGCATCAGATGATGGTGACTTCCTTTGCCTGAAAATCCTAGTAAGGAAAATGGCCTTGAGGGCAAGTCACATAGCAAGGCCAGCCAGCAGTGAGGGGGTCACAGGCGGCTGCATGGATAGGACGTCCCTCAAGGTGGGACTGAATCGGACAGACCAGATGGAGTGGCTTTGGAGGAGAGAAACTGGAGATGGGGGGGGTGGGGGGATGAGGGCAAGTCAAATGAAGGGGAAGAGATTTCTGGCAGAGCCAGACTGGGCTACTTTGGGTGTCAGGGTGAAAACTCAGGAGATGGGGAGAGCTTAGCAGTTGGTATTGGCAGATAAGGTTTTCTGCTAGAGACAAATGGGGAAAGGAAGAGGGACCTTGAGTGCCAGACACACAGATAAGAGATTTGAGACACCCCTGAGCCCACCGTCTGGACACCAGTCAGAGATGCAGAACCACGTACAGAGAACCATGGAGCAGGGGAGGCAGGAGGGTGGCAGGTGCAAAGGCCAAGGAGAGGGAGCCAGCAGAGACCCTCACCTGAGCCACAGCTGGCCAGAGATGGAGGCTCAGGCTTAGGGGAGGCGCTGGAGTTACCCCGCTAACTTCACCCCGGAGGCCTGGTGCTGCTGGGATCCCCAGGTCCCTGCCTCCCCGTACCTGTACCAGGGATGAGACACACACTGGTACAAGGGTTGGGAGACAGGGCCGAGAGGAGAGAGGAGCCGCCGCCGCCGCTGCCTCCGGGGACTTGGCGTCTGGACCGGCCCGGGGGCTCCTTTTTACCCAGGCCCGGTGAGGGCGGGGGTTCCTGCCAGAGGAAGTGGGGCCGCATCAAAGAGGGCAGGAAGGGGCAGGGACGGGTCAGAAGGGGGCACGCCCCGAGGTTCAGCCTGCGAGCCCGCCCCACCTGGTGCTGGAGGGTGGGAGACCCCGCGGAGGGGCACCGGGACCCAGAGAGCAGGGGACAGAGATGGGAGACAGGGGAAGGCAGATCCGGAGAGAAAGGACAGGGAACAGAGACCCCGAGGGGGATCTGAGGCCGCTCCAGGAGCCCCCACCCGCAGGTGTTTCCGTTTGGGGTGGGGCCACCGTGTTTACAACAACAACAGGCCCGCTCCCCTGTTTCCTCCCAGCAGTGGGTTGCTGGGCGTCTCCTTGGCACCCCATTGTCAGGCTACCTAGTGTCGGGTGCAGCCCTGACCTGGTGGGGACCCCCTGATGATCAGTGCACAAAACCCAAGGAGAAAGCCCCCACAGCCATGTCAATTCTCTGTTCCGATGACCTGGACGAGGACATTACCTGCAGTTCTCTTGTTTGTTTTGGCTGCTCTGGGTCTTCCTTGTGGCGCACCGGCTCCACAGCCCGTTGCAGCGTGCAGCCTTTCTCTAGCTGCGATGCAAGGGCTATAGAGTGGGTGGGTTCAGTAGTTGCCTCAGTAGCAGCATGTGGGATCTTAGTTCACCGTCCAGGGCTCAAAACCGCGTCCCCTGCATTGGAAGGTGGATACTTAACCACTGGACTGAGACAAGAGATAGAGGGGCTCCAGGTTAGACATTACAGCTGGCCTCCTGTTTGCATTTCATGGAGCACAAAGATGTGGGCTTCAGGCTGGATCCTGGACAACTGTTAGCATTTCCTGAGACGAGATAAATGAGCTCCAGTTGAGGAATTTACAATCAGCCTCCCGTTTGCTCTGCAAAATGGAAGTAACCACAGAAACAGGGTAAATAGCCAGTGTTTGTCTCTTGTAAACACTTTTTAAGGTAATAGGGCAGGAACAAAGAGGGGCAAAACCCTGTTTGAATGAAGGATTACGGGATCTTCACTCCCCCTCTTTTGGGACAAGGGAGACCCTACACATGTGCAAAAAGGCTCCTTGGAGACCAAAAGTCAGGGGATAACGCCAGGCCAAAATGATTCTTGCTCCTCCCAGAAGCCTTCACTTTGAGATCCATCTTGACTGAGCGGTGCGTGCACACCCAGGTTAAGGGTCCCAGCGTAGGGCAGGTGTGGAAAAAGAAACCAGATGATGGGCTAAACGTAAACCAGACCTGGAAGAACTGACCTGTATAAACGACTTAACCGCCTCCTCCTCACTGCGGGGGACGCCACACCCTTTCTGTCTGGGTGTGCGTCTCTGCCTTGCTTCTATCTTAACAGAACAAAACCATTTCTCTGTGCTCTCCCCACACTTGTTATTGTGCTGTCTCTAACAATAAACTTTGTACCTGCCTTCACAGTTTCTGCCTCTGTGATAAAGGCATTTTTCACTGGGGGCAAAGAGCCAGGGAAAAAGAGCTTCTAGCCTCTAGCCCTTGCTGGTCTGGTGGCTAGGATTCCAGGCTACCCCGGTTCAATTCTTGGGCAGGGAATTAAATCTCGCTTCAAGCCACTGCTCACTGCTGCCTCATCCAGATCAGGACCACCAGGAGGGTCCCCACCTGCCCTTCTGAGAGCCCTGTGACAGCTAGAGACACGACTCCTGGGCACAGATCATGGCCTCAGAGCTTGCCCTCTGCCTGCCTGCTCCTCCCACCCTCCCTGCACCCCAGACTCGCTCCCTCCTCTGAGCTTTTGCACTGGCTGTGCCCTCTGCCCGGAGGCTCTAACCCCAGGCTTCCAGCTGCTGCTTCCCTCACCCCTTCACCTCTAGTTCTCACCAACCTCTTTCCATTTGGCAGAACCTCCAGCCCTCCCAGCCACCCCCCCCCGCCTGAATGTCCCACATAGACAGGAAAGCCCGCTCATGGCATATTTGTATATTTGTTGCACAGATCCTGTATGACCTGGCACACTCATTTGTTAACCTGTTAACTTCTGGAATACAAACTCCAAGAAGTTGTGCTGCAACCCCAGCACCTGGAACAAACTGTGAGTGCGCCGCACACGTTTAGCCGAGTGTATGAATCCTTTTAAGGGTAAATCCCAAATAAATTAATTTTTTAAAAGTTAAATCCCCACATTCTCTCAGGCTAGGCTTGACCACTAGCGTTACCCCAAAACCATCTCTTGGTGGGTGTCAAGCCGAAAGACCCAACTGAGCTAAACGTCAGGAGAAGGAAGGTTTGTTAGAACTCGCCACAAGTAAGGGGAACACCAGGGACCTTCCCCAAAGGACTGTCTCGCCAGCAGCAAAATTGGGGAAGTTTTAAGCTAAGGGAACAAGCAACAAGCACATTCATGGCGGGGTGGAGCAGAGGAGAAATCAGCACAGAATTGGGGCAAAGGTCGCCCGAGCCCTAACTGTAGTTATTGAAGTCTGGAGGGGCAATATCATTCTATCCTTCACCTGGGTGGTGCCTTAGTTACTGCAGAACTCAAAGATTGTATCAGATGGTTCTGTATATCCTTTGAGGAGGAATTAGGACTCTGTTTTATTGTTGCTTGACAGGTTTTCCTTTTTTCTGTATGCCCTCTCTTCCAGTAAAGAATCTGTCTGCAGGAGACCAAAGTTTGATTCCTGGGTTGGGAAGATCCCCTGGAAAAGGGAATGACCCACTCCAGTATTCTTGCCTGGAGAATTCCAGGGACAGAGGAGCTTGTCACAAAGAGTCAGATACGACTGAGCATCTCACACTTTCACACTTTACTTCCCTGAAGATCACGGATTACTGAGACCTATGTGAGGGCGAGCACTGGGGCCAGGCTTAGATCACAAGATGGCTTAGGCCAACATGGCTTGTCTTACATCAAGAAAGTCATTCCTGGTTCTTTTTCTTCAGGGACCCCCTAACCTATCCACTTACACTAGGTCTCAAGGCACAGAGTAACTGGAAGCAGTGAACATGTACAGAAACCTCCCCCAATGTTAGCATGAAGACTGCAGGCTCTGTTGCAGAGCCTAGCCCTACCCTCATTAGCTGTGTGACCTTGGGCGTAATTCTCCGGGAACCACAGGGCTTCAGTTTCCTAATCTGTAAAATCTTGCCTCCCTGCCCCTTCGGGAACATGAAATAGACTCACCTGTGTTACTGGGAGTAGAACTAGTTCTAGTAAGTGATACTTCTCAAGGAAGTGATTGTGTCACATCCCTGAGCCTATTGTTAGTGCAAAGCCTAGTGAGACCTTGGCTGGCCCGAGGACAAGAGTCTTTGGCAGGGGACTTCCCTGGTGGTCCAGTGGCTAAGACTCTGCGATTCCAATGCAGGGGGCCCAGGTTTGATCCCTGGTCAGAGAACTAGATCCCACATGCCACAACTAAAGATCCTGTATGCCGCAACTAAGATCTGGTGCAGCCAAACAAATTTAAAAAATAAAAAATCTTTGGCAGAAGGCCCTAGAAGTATCAACGGTTATGGAATCCTGGATCTACTACAGCAAATCCTGCTGGTTTGTCATGGGATCTTGAGACTATTTTAGCATGCTTCTGGAATATTCTGTCACATGCCTCTTATAGGTGTCCCCCGTGGTCATTTCCCAGGGAAATTAGCTCCAAGCATGTTTCAAGGCAGGGTACCAGGTTATGATGACAGCAGGCGTCAGGCCTGTTACATGAAAACAGGGCAGATATTGGTTGTATCATAATGTATCATAGTGTCTCACATCTATCAGAACAGGCCACAGGAATATTCTATCATAGCCAGACTGGTGAGCATCGTTGCAGCCCCTTGTGGTATTATAGCATGACCTATAATAGATTATAGTGGGAACTCAGGGTCTTGTAACAGGCTTTTTTTTTTTTTTTTTAATTTTCCCTGTGGTCACAGCACATGGTATGTGGGATATTAGTTCCCCCACCAGGGATGAAACTTGCGCCCCTTGCTTTGGAAGTGCGGAGTCTTAACCACTGGACCACCAGGTTCGTCCATTGTAACTGGTGGTTGGCAATACCCGGGTTATATGAGGGCCAGCACGTGAGTATTATGTGTGGAGCAGGCACCTGGATTCATTAACTAGCCCTAGGGCTGCAAGTGGAATCTAGGAACATGGAATTGGAGCGGCTTCAGATGTGTGAGCAGCCTTGCTGCCGTATGTTAGCACTTCCCTGAGTTTTCCATTATTGGAAAGCCCTGGAGTTTCACATTATAATAGGTCCCAGCTCTGTGGCATTTAACAGAGACCCACGGATTGTTTCAGGGGTGCATATAGATTCTGCTAGAACATTCTAGAAAAGTTTTAGGGACCTACTAAACCAGCCCCGGGTCTTTCACTATTGGCTTCCTTCAGCCTGCTGATGCTTCCTGTGCTGGCCCCTGGGGATGCAAGAGTGAGTGAGACAGAGCCAGGGCCTGCCTACCATCTAGTGCAACCGTGGGGACTTTCACTGCCTCCTGAGTGGGGGGAGGCAGTGTGGGGAACAGGTTACTACTGCGCTCCACTATGGCCCCGTGCCAAACCTTTGATTCATTGAAGCCTCTCTACCGAAGGAGGTACAATTAGTATCTCACTTCCCAGATAAACTGAGGCTCAGAGAAGCCCTCCTGAAAGAGAGTGGGTTTGGTTTCGAACTCTGGTGTGATTGCATCCTGGGGTCAGGAGGGGGCGCTACAGTGCCAGGGAGAGAGGAGGGGCAGATGTTAAGGTGGTGATTCAGGAAGACAGCTCAGAACTGCCAGGGGCTAGGTCCCCAGACACCAAGGGAGGCATCATGAGTGAGCTCCCTGTACTGTTGTTCCAAAGGGACCTTGGTTCGTTTTGAAGTTGGAACTAAGCGCCCATATTTTCATTTACCAATGGGCTCTGCACATTTCATAACTGTCCCGCTGCTTTCTATCACTTTCTCATGGGCCCCTGGGGATGTGATAGTAGGATCGCACAGAATCTAAAAGGTATAGGCAAAAGGACGTCCCTGCTGGTCCAGTGGTTAGGACTAGGTGCTTTCAGTGCTGGGGTCCAGGGTTCAGTCACTGATCAGGGATCCTGCAAGCTGCATGGCACACCCTGCAAACCCCACCCCACCCCCCAAAAAAACCACGCCTGAGCAGGGATCATTAGAGTATAGGACCCTGGGGATAAGATATGAGACAGACAGCAGATGCTGTAAATGGTCCCTGAAGACACAGCAGTTTCCAGGACACTTAGCTGCGATTCCCAGTGGGCATTAAGGGACCTTGAGAGCTTTTTCTTTTGTAGCAGGAAGGAGGAACACTATGAGGAATGTTCAGGTCGGACCTCTGAGAGGCCTCGTGGCTAAACCCCGAGGACATTCTGACGGGAGGAAAGGAAGATCCGAACGGGGACACAAAAGCAGAGTCAAGGGAGGGCACCCTCCATGCCCGTGAGCACGCTAGGCTGGATAGCGTTCCCTCAAAGCTGCCTATGCCCTAGAGCTCCAAAACCTGTGACTACATGACCTTGTTTAATAAAGGGAACTTCCAAGATGTGATTAAATTCAGGATCTTGTGATGGGGAGATGATCCTGGATTATCCAGGTGGGACCAGTGTCATCACAAGGGTCCTTAGAAGAGGGAGGGTCAGCAAGTTCCTGAGAAATGAGGAAAGTTTCTTGCCTGGTCCGCCAGCAATGCAGGAGATGGCAACAGGAGCCATGGGTTCGATCCCTGGGTCGGGAAGATCCCCTGGAGGAGGAAATGGCAACCCACTCCAGTGTTCTTGACTGGGAAAAGCCCATGGACAGAGGAGGTTGGTGGGCTACAGTGCATGGGGTCGCAGAGTCAGGCACAACTAAGAGCACACACATACACGTGGTTAAACACATATGTCAACTTGGCGGGGCCACAGTGCCCAGATGTTTGGTCCAACATTATTCTGGATGTTTCTGTGTGGGTGTTTGGGAGTGAAATTACACTGAAATCAGTGGACTCTGAGTAGAGCCAACCACCCCCACCATAATGTGGGTGGGCCTTGTCCAATCAGTTGAAGGTGGAAAACTGACCTCCCCTCAAGCAAAGGGGAGCCCTGCCAGCAGATTGCCTTTAGATTTCATCTGCAAGATGAGCTCTTCTGGGTTTTCCAGATAGCCTGCCTTTGGATTTGAACTGTAACTGTTTCCGGCCACCTCTATCACATTTTGAACTTGCCAAGTTTCCATGATCACATGTGCCAATTCCTTATACTAAGTCTCTTTCTCTATATATATACATCCTGTTGATTCTGTTTCTCCAAGAAACCCTGACTAATATATCATATGACCTAGCAAGTCCACTCCTCTGTATATACCCAAAAGAATTGAATACAGATATGCAGGAAAAAAATTTTTAAAAAAACAACAAGCTTGCAAGCAAATGTTTACAGCAGCATTATTCACAATAGCCAAAAAAGTGAAAACAACCCAAATGTCCATCAACTGCTGAAGCTGAAGGGGTGAACAAGTGTGGTCAATCCATACAATAGAATATTATCCAGCCGTGATGAGGAATGAAATCCTGCCACATGCTACCATGTGGATAAATCTTGAAAACAGCATGCTGGGAAATTCCCTGGCAGACCAGTGGTTAAGACTCTGCCTTTTCATTGTGATCTTCTTCAAGTCTTGAGGGGAGGCCAAAAAAAAGAAAAACTCCACAGTACACTAAATGAAAGAAGCCAGGTATAAAATGCCAGATTAATTTGAAATGTCCAGAATAGGCAAATCCACGGAGACAGTAAATTCGTGGTTGCCGGGGGCAGGTGGGAGAAGGGACCACTTAATGTGTCTGGGATCTCTTTTGGGATGATGAAAAAGTTCTGGAACTAGATCATGGTGATGGTTGCACAACACTGTGAGTGCACCAAATGTCACTAATAGTAACTCTTTTGTGCACTTTACCACAATAAAACAAGTGAATGGAAGCGTTACAGCAGGAATGTGGGCTGGAAGTGGCAGGTTGGATGATACCCCAAGTATGGTGTAGAATATTTGGGTCTGTGCAGTTACTGAGGTCATACCAGAAGATATTAAGGAACTGCAGGGGCACTTTAAGAGGCCCCGTGAGGGAGGAAGGAAGAAATGTGGAAGCTGGAAGACTTTTATCACCGCAGGCGTTAGCGACCTTGTTGGGGTGGGGGGCGGACAAGGAGGTAAGGAGGGGACCCACACAGACGTCCCAATTTGGCACTCGGATAATACTGATTCCCAACTTTGTCATGAATTTGCTGGATGGCTGACATTCTCAAGAAAATCAGGAAGCAACAGCACAAGAGAGAGAAAAAAAAAAGACAAAAGTTTCTCGAGAGAGGCAGAGAGGGACACTCAGCCAGCCCGGGCCCTGGGCCCGGGGTGTGCCCTACAGCTGTAGGGGCGGGGTTGGATATTCCTGGAGTCGAGGAGCCGTCGTCTCTGGACAGGATGTGAGAGAGGAACTGGGATCTCCAGTCACGGGAGCCAGCTGGGGCGCAGAGGGAAGGGATCGAGGCTGCCAGTGAGTCCAGAGCTGGGGCCCCCAAACCGAGGGAGGAGAGGGCCGGGCGCAGGACCTCCGGGTCTCAGGGACGAGGGAGCCGGCGATCTGGACTTTGGGGTCCGAGGGAGGAGAGGACGGGACTCTCGGGTCTGAGGCAGGGGAGGCGGGGGAGGAGGAGGAGGCGGGGCCGAAGTCTGAGCCAGGAATCTCAGCCTATCCAGGCTCTGTAACTAATTAACCAACGCGGATCAAATTAGTGGGTGAAAGTTCATCGAGGAGGAGGTTCTTGTCGTCATCCTCCCCCGCCGGGATCGACCTCCTCCACCTGCAGCCGCAGGCGCGCGGGGTGGCCGGGCCGAGCCGAGCCGAGCCAAGCCAGGCCAGAGCTGCGGGAGGGACGGCGGGTGGGAGGGGCGGGCCGGGGGTCCGGAGGAGTCACGCGCCCCCTCCCGCCCCAGGTCTCCCACTCAGGATGCGGCTTCCCCGGCCTCAGCCCTGGGGGCTCGCTCTGCTGCTCGTCCTCCTGCCTGGGGCGCTGAGAGCAGGTGAGGGCCTGCTGGGGGCTTCCGAGGGCTGCCGGGCACGAGGGAGGTGCCAGCCTCCGGGAAATGAGCGAAATCCGAGGTCCCCCGCTCGAGCCGGGGGACTTCCTTATCGGCCACATTTCGTCTGGTTTCCCACGATCTTTTCCCCCTCTGGCGGTCTGTCTGGAAAACACCTGTCCCCTTCTTCCTGGGACTCTAGTCCCCTCTCTGGGTCTGTCCTTCCCCCCTCCACCCCCCACCCCGCCAGGGTCTGGGCCCTCTGTCTGGGGTGGGGGTGTTTTCTTTCCCAGGGTGTCTGTCCCATCTAGGTCCCCCGCCCCGACTGCTCTCTTCGCCGGCAGAGAACCATCGCTCGCTGCAGTACCACTTCACCGCCGTATCGGCCCCCGCCGCGGGGACCCCTGCTTTCTGGGTTTCGGGCTGGCTGGGGCCCCAGCAGTACCTGAGCTACAATAACCTGCGAGGGCAGGCTGAGCCCTGCGGCGCGTGGGTCTGGGAAAGCCAGGTGTCCTGGTACTGGGAGAAAGAGACCACCGACCTGCGAAACCAGCAGACGCTCTTCCTCCAAGCGCTCCAAGCTCTAGGCGAAGGTGAGACGGGGGCTTCCTGGGCTGGGAGCCTGGATCCCGGGTCTGAGGGAGGAGGGGACGGCCGGCCCCTGCTCCTGGGTCGGGCTCATCCTTGTGTGGGCACCCCAGGCCCCTTCACCATGCAGGGCCTGTTGGGCTGCGAGTTGGGCCCTGACAATGTATCAGTACCGGTGGCCAAGTTTGCCCTGAATGGCGAGGAGTTCATGATGTTTGACCCCAAGCTGGGCATCTGGGATGGTGACTGGCCTGAGTCCCGGACCGTCAGTATCAAGTGGACGCAGCAGCCCGAGGCGGTCAACAAGGAGAAGACCTTCCTCCTCTACTCCTGCCCGCACCGGCTGCTGGGGCATCTGGAGAGGGGCCGAGGCAACCTGGAGTGGAAGGGTGAGCGACCCCCTGATCAGCGCAGGCCCCCTCCATTCCCACGGCCCCATCCTCTTCCCCAGCCTCTCCCCGTCTGCCTCCCTGCCTCCAGTCCACCCTGCTCTCCCACAATCATGTCTCTGAGGGTCGTCCTCCACCCCCAGCGGTCCCCAGCCCCTCTCCTGCACACAGCCCTCCCGTGGCTCCCAGAGCCCTCGGGGCATGGCTCAGGCCCCCCGGCCAGGCATTGCGATCCCAAGTGGCATGGCCTCTGCCCTTCGCCTGTCTCCATCTGCCCCACTCGGCCAGACGCAGTCACCCAGAGCCCCTTGAGCTCGCCCCAGCCCTCCCATTTCTCCACCTTTGCCAGTTTCACTAGTGCCAGAGGCCACTGGTGTCAGGTTCCACTCTGGCCCTGAGGTTTTTTCTTGGCTCCTTCAGACGCCCACAAGACCTTATGTGACCTCCATTCCATACAGCACGTGTCACTCTGAGCTATAATTACAGGCATGTCTAGGGAATTCAAGGGCTGCAGTTTAGAGCTCTTTGTCCTCAGCCTCTCCAACATTGAGTTTCCAGCTTCTATCTCAGCCCCCAATTCAGACTCTTCTCCACCCAGGAGTCAGATGAACCTTTTAAAAACATAAATGAGCTCCCATCCCACCCATGCTTAAAACCAGACCACAGATTCCTGCTAATCCTGGATGAAAATCCAAACTCTACTCCAAGGCCTGCAAGCCCTGCATGGTCTGGCTGCTTTCCACTGCTGTAATTTCACAATGCCCCCAGTGACACTGGACTTCTCCCTTTCCTCCAATATGCCAGGTTCTTTCCTCCCTCAGGGCCTTTGCACCAGCTGTTCCCTCTGTCCTTTTTTTTTTTTTGATTAATTAATTAATGTACTTTGGCTGTGTCAGGTCTTCCTTGAGGCAGCACTGCAAGCTTCTCTCTAGCTGTGGTGCCCAGACTCAGTTGCCTTGCAGCATGTGGGATCTTAGTTCCCTGAGCAGGGATCAAACCTTTGTCCCCTGCATTTCAAGGTGGATTCTTACTCTCTGGACCACCGGAGTAGTCCCCAATGTTCCCTTTGCTTTTGATTCTCTTCCCTGGGCTCCAGCCAGGACTGGATCCTTCTCGTGCTAGAAGTTTGAATGTCCGCTCTTCAGTAGGGCCCTCCCTGGCTAAAGGGTGCCCCCCGAATCGCACCCCCATTATTGTCTCTCATGCAACTGTTTTTTTTTCCATTCATTCATTATAGCATCTTTCATCTTTTTGTTGTTTTTTTTCTTGAGGTGTGACTTACCTATTTAAAGTCCACTGCTCAGGGACTTTCCTGGTGGTTCAGTGGTGAAGACTCTGAGTTCCCAATGCAGGAGGCAAGGGTTTGATCCCTGGTCAGGGAACTAGACCCACAGGCCACACAGTGTGGCAATAAAAAAGTACATGGCTCAATTTTTTTATTTTTTTGGCTGTGCTACTCAGGGATCAAACCTGTGCCCCCTGCCTTGGAAGCACAGAGTCTTAACCACTGGCCACTAGCAAAGTCCCTGAACATGGAATTTATTTGTCAAAAAGTTTTATATTATGGATTACAATTTTTAAATAGTTATAGGACCACTACTCAATTGTAAAATTTCTTCTTGTGTCTGTTCGGGAACATTGTGTCTCTCAGGAATTTGTCAAGTTCATTTAAATTTCAAGCGTGCTGGCTGGAAATTTTTCATATCCTCTCACTATCTATTGAATGACTGCAGGGCCTGTCTTATTTTCCCTCACCACACTTTCATAGCCTATTTCCCTTTCATTTATTTATTTTTAAAATATTTATCTTCGCCTGTGTCTGGCCTTAGTTGTGCATGCAGGATCTTCCCTTGTGGTGCTCAGGGTCTTCATTTTGGCGAGTAGGCTTCTGTCTAATTGTAGGGCGTGGGCTCGGTAGTTGCAGAGCTCAGGCTTAGTTGTCCTGCAGCACGTTGGATCTTAGTTCCCCGACCAGGGATCCAACCCAGGTCGCCTGCATTGGAAGGCAAATTCTTAATCACTGGACCACCAGCTAAGTCCTCCCTTTCATTTACATATACACAAACATTCATCTTTCTGGTAGCTCAGAGAATCTGGTGGTAGAGAATCTGCCTGTAATGCAGGAGACCTGGGTTCTATGCCTGGGTTGGGAAGATCCCCTGGGGAAGGGAGTGGCTACTTACTCTGGTATTCTTGCCTGGAGAGTCCCACGGACAGATGAGCCTGATGGGCTATATAGTCCATGGGGTCACAGAGAGTTGGACATGACTGAGCTACTAACACACTCCTCTCATTAGAACACAAGCCCCATGAGGACAGGGACTTTTGTCTGTCTTGTTCACTGCTGTATGTCTAGTGCCTGGAAGAGTGCCTGGCACATCCCATGGTAAACGCGTGTATGTGTCATTGTAGGAAGGACTGGAAGAGAGATGGATACCCTCGTGGTGGGCAGGTTGGATATCAGGACCCCTAAGAAGCCCTTTCCCCCTTGATCGTTATGTTCTCTAGGCTCAGGACAGCATAGCGCACGATCAGGTGTACTATGGGGGCTTCCCAGGTGGCACAGTAGTAAAGAATCCACCTGCCAACGTAGGAGACGCAAGAGACGCAGGTTCGATCCCTGGGTCGGGAAGATCCCCTGGAGTAGGAAATGGCAACCCGCTCCAGTATTCTTGCCTGGAGAGTCCCATGGACAGAGGAACCTGGTGGGCTACAGTCCATGGGGTGGCAAAGAGTCACAGCACAGAGCAGCTCGAGGCGCACGGTGGGGCCTGCTGGGTAGTGGGGAGGCATGGAGGCCTGTGTCCGTCTCCGTGCACCCCTGCGCCTGGGGCTTAGGCCTGTCTGCCTGTCCGTCCGCAGAGCCACCCTCCATGCGCCTGAAGGCCCGCCCCGGCAGCCCCGGCCTGTCTGTGCTCACCTGCAGTGCCTTCTCCTTCTACCCACCTGAGCTGAAGCTGCGCTTCCTGCGGAACGAGCTGGCCACTGGCTCTGGTGAGATACACATGGGCCCCAACGGCGACGGCTCCTTCTACGCCTGGTCATCACTCACAGTCAAGAGTGGTGAGGAGCACCACTACCGTTGCGTGGTGCAGCACGCGGGGCTGGCCCAGCCCCTCACGGTGGAGCTGGGTGAGTGAGGTCCCGCTGGGGAACTGTGCTCCCGACTTCCGGTTGTCTTTTCTCCCTCTGCTGCAGCAACCCTTCCTGAGTCTGACTGCTTTCTGCCCCACCACTGGCCAGTTCGTCCAAAGCCTGACAGCCTCTTGTCCTGCGTTGCTTGCCTCCCCAAGTCTGAGTGCCTTCCATCCTGCTGCTGCTGGCCTCATTGATTCTGGCCACTCGTTAACCGCTATGGGAAGTCCTCCCTAAGTCTGACCACCTTCCGTCCTGCTGCTGCTAGTCTTCAGGAGTCTGACCATTCGTTGTCTGCTGCTGCCAGGCCTCTATGAGTCATGTTCTACTGCTCTGTGCCCACCCCTCCTCTCCAAGTTGGAACACCGCCCACTCTGCTGCTACAGGTCCCTTGATCAGAGCGACTGAGACCCCTCTTGCTACAGCTGGTTCTTATATCCAACCTGGGGGCTTTCTAGATCTAGAACATCCTGGGAGTGGCCTTCCCTTTATCCACACCCACTCCCCACATGCTGGTGCTGGGATCTCTGGGGTTGGGAGGGACCGCGAACCCCCAGTCCCCTGTCCTGACTCAGACGTGGCAGAGGGTCCCTTACATATCTCACGACATTCTCTGACTGCAGAATCACCAGCCAGGACCTCGGTGCCAGTGGTTGGAATCGTCATCGGCTTCTTCCTGCTCCTGACAGTGGCTGTGGGAGGAGCTCTCCTGTGGAGAAGGATGAGGAAGGGGCTGCCAGGTGTGGGGCAGGAAGAGGGAGGTGCCTCAGAGAGAGGGGTGGGGACCCCCTCATTCCTGCAGGGACAGAGTGGGACAGAGACCCAGAGAGATGGGGAGAAAGAAAACTGGAGGGGAGAAAGACTCAGAGGGAGATAGAAATCCATAGAGTGGGACAGAGACTAAAAAATACACAAAGACACACACACACTGCACACATCACACACACACCACACACCACCACACACACACCACACACACATACCACACACACACCACACACATACCACACACACACACCACACACACCACACACACACCACACACACACACCACACACACCACACACACACCACACACATACCACACACACACACCACACACACACACATACACCACACACCACACAAACATACCACACACACACACCACACACACACCACACACACCACACACACACACCACACACACATACCACACACACACCACGCACACACACCACACAACACACACACATACCACACACACACACACACACCCCACACACACACCCCACACACACACCCCCCACACCCCCCACACACACATACCACACACACCACACACACACACCACACACACACCACACACACCATGCACACATACCACACACACACCACACACACATACCACACACACACCACGCACACACACCACACACCACACACACATACACACACAACATACAACACACACACCACACACACACACACACACCCCACACACACACACATACCACACACACCACACACACACCACACATACACACCACACAGACACCACACACACACCATGCACACATACCACACACACACATACCACACACACACCACACACACACATACCACACACACCACACACACACACCACACATACACACACACCACACACACCAGACACACACCACACACACATACCATGCACACACACCATGCACACACACCACACACACACACACCACACACACACACCACACACACCATATACACACACGTGGGGAGGGGCAGTCAGAGACCTGGAGGATTTCAAAGATTCTAATGATCTCCCTTGTCCCTGTTTTCTCAGCTCCTTGGATCTCTTTCCGTGGGGAGGATGTAGGGGCCCTCCTGCCCACTCCCGGCCTGTCCAAGGATGGTGAATCTTAGAATAAAAATGTATTCCCAGCAACTCCCGATAATCCCCCATCCTGGCTGTTACCAGCTAATGTCCTCAGGTCCTTTTCATGCTGTGAGACCTCCGGGAATCCTGGTATTTTTGAGCCTCTGGAAGGAGCCCGATGTCCTCCCTCTGGACTTCTCCTCTTGTGATCTGCCTCAGTTTCCCCTCCCGATATATATGGTTCTTTTCCAGCTCCACATATAACATGGGTTTGGGCCCGAATCGTTGTGTTCTCATCGTTTCAACTTTTTTAGGGAATTGTGAGGGGAAATAAATGGTGTAAGCCTTGGGCTTCAAGTCTCTCCTGAGGCTAACTTGTTGCCATAGTGGAATTTGCCAGTTTTATATACCAAGTCATGTATTTTTAATGAATAAATTTCACAAATATTTACTGGGTGTTTGTGCCAGGCATTTTGAGGAATCCTTGGCTGGAGTCTGATCTGACTTCTTGGTGTAGCGGAAGAGTTGTTACCTCCTTGAGGGAAAGGAAAGCCTCCTCTGGCTGTTAGGTTCCCTTTCCTAAAACCTGCGGACAAAGGGAAAGAGATAAAAATACATCTCCCGTGAGGCTTTGAAGCTAGAGCAACTGGAGGTGGTCGGGCAGGGCTCCCCGACGCCTGCCGGGAGTTGTAGTTCCCCCGGCCGTGTCACTCCGGAGTTGCCCACTTCGCCTTCACTGGGAATGGGCGGGGCCGAGCCTCGCGGAGACGCGCTTTCCTTTGTGGACGTGGCGAGGGGCGCCCTTGGCCCGGCCTGCTCTATTTGGCCCCGCCCCACGAGGCCCTCAAGAACGCTCGTTGGCTGGGGGGCGGGGCCTCTGCGCTTCAGGAGGCGGGGCCTGACTGGGGAGCCGCCAAATCAGGCATCTTTTTGGAGAACGCAGGGTGGAACGTAGAGAGCGAAGTGAAGCTCTCCGACCCGGTAAAGGGAGGCGGGGGCGGGTGGCCTGTCCAGGGAGGACGGTTTGGGTCCGCTTGGGTGGAGGATTGGGGACCAGGCTGAAAGCGATGCCCGCGAACCTGCAAGATTTCTTTCTGGCCACGACCCTGCCCTGAACTACGCGTGGGAAGTATGCCACGTCTCTCGCTTGAATCCTACCCTCCTGGGACTCGGACTCCTCTGGGACTTCCTTGGAGGATTCGGTCCCCACAGCTGGTTAACCTCTGAGAATCCCGCCTTCCTTTCCCCTTCCTATCCCTTCTTGTGGCCCAAACTTTGCAGCCAGCCACCAGCTCTGTGTCCTGTCCTGGGTTCCTCCCGTCCCCATTCTCCCATCACCTCTCTGTCCTTTTCTCTGTGACTCTGACTCCTAACCTCCACCACTCCTCAGGGACTGATGATGTGGCCACCCGCACTTCTGCTGCTGCTGTTGCTACTCAGGCGTGGAACCCAGGCGAAGCCATCTCCTGACGCTGGCCCTCATGGCCAGGGGAGGGTGCACCACGCGGCCCCCCTGAGCGAAGCCCCTCATGATGACGCTCACGGGAACTTCCAATATGATCATGAGGCTTTTCTGGGACGAGAAGTGGCCAAGGAATTCGACCAACTCACCCCAGAGGAAAGCCAAGCTCGTCTGGGGTAGGAGAGAGATGGAGGGGGGAGGAGGATTGTAATTTTAAAGAGGGAGGTCAGGAGAGCCCTCAGTGAGAAGGTGATATTTGAGTCACGTGGGTATATGGGGGAATAGCATTCCAGGCAGAGGGAATTGTAAGTGCAAAGGTCCTGAGGCAGGAGCGGGAATGATGTGCCTGCTGTATCTGAAAACCAGAGAGGTCTATGTGACTGGAGCCCAGTGAGCAGAGGGAGAGAGTAGGAGGTAGTGGCAGAGAGAAGAGAGGGATCAGGTTGTGCAGGGTCTTTGGGGCCCCAGTGAGATGAGAGCTATGGAATGGTTCTGAAGGAGGAGGTGAGCCGACTTAGGTTTTAACAGGATCCCTCTGGTTGCCATGCAGGGAACAGACTATAAGGAGCAAGAAGCAGAGAGCCCGTTGAGGAAGGGACTGCAGTCTTCCAGGCGGGAGATAAGAGACCAGGGTATCCCAACTCAGGGTGGAGATAGCTGTGGTGGTCAGCTATGCTGACTGGAATATTGTGCATAGATGGAGTTAGATGAAGTAAGCTAACACATTTGTGGTCACGCTTACTACAATGCCCAGCACCGTTCAAAGCGCTTACCAGGCTTAACTCATTTAATCCCAACATCCACAGTGTGAGGTATGGTCTATTATTTATTCCCATTTTATAGAGGGGGAAACTAAGGCACAGAGAGGTTATATGACTTGCCCACAGTGACACAGCCAGCAAGAAGAGGTGGCAGGATTTGAACCTTAATGTCTGGCTCTAGAGTCCAAGCTCTTAACCACAGCTCGAACCTCAGGGTAGCCGGAGCAGAGCAGAGACAACATAACGCTGGAGGGACGGGTCAGCGACCTGGCCAGGGCCATCTCAAATTGGATTCTGGGGACTGGGTCGAGGGGCTTTGGGATGGAGACAGGAAGAAGAGCTCCATTAGCGGTCGAGCGAGGACACAGACCAATGACGGGGCGTTACCAGGGATGGGACCTGGGAACCGACAGGCGTGGCCTGAGAGAAGGGGCATGAGGTGGGGTGGCCTAAAGGGGCCCTGACAGGCGACAGGGAGGTGTGCAGGATCAGGCTAGAGCTCGGAGAGGAGTGGGTGAAGGCCGAGCCCGCTGTGTTGGTGGTGATAGTCATAGGGCAAAACCTGATAACGGCTAGGAAAAAGCAGGCGCAGGGGGAGAGTCGCAGCATACCTCGGGACTGCAGGGATATCAGCCTGAGATAGACACGCGCGGCCAGGGAGGGGGCGGGGCAGAGGGCGGGGCTACCGGGGCTATCGGGCCAGGAGATTGGTGGAACCAGCGAAGGGGGCGGGGCGTGAGACGGGGGCCGGTCTGGACCGCATGTTGCCGTGGCAGTCGGAGTTCAGAGTGAGCCTTGGGACGGGGTATCTGCGGGCGATAGGCGCCGTGTGACTCTCTGCCCTCCGTCCCCTCACGGCTCTTTCAAGTGAGAGATGGAACATGCGCACTGTTGAGAGGTGGGGCCAAAGTGGAGGGTGGGACCCTGGATTGTCATAGGTCCTCCCCCCAAGCCGGCGAGTTGTAGAGCGCAGCGCCAGCCACAGGCCTTTTGCATCTCGGTAAAGAGATTATCGCCTCTGGGAGCCGAGCCTGGATTGAGAGGGCGGAGCCCTAAAGTGGGAGTGGTCCTGGGATTGACAGGCTCCTCCCCCCGATTTGCCGGCGGGGACAGCATTTTCAGTCCTATATGGGGTTGTGTCCCGAGCGTCTAGAAGGCGGGACCCGCGGTGGGCGGGGCCCGAGACTGACGTGCGCCCGCTCCTGCTCGCAGGCGCATCGTGGACCGCATGGACCGCGCCGGGGACGGGGATGGCTGGGTGTCTCTGGCCGAGCTCCGCTCGTGGATCGCACACACGCAGCAGCGGCACATACGGGACTCAGTGAGCGCAGCCTGGAACACGTACGACACAGACCGCGATGGGCGTGTGGGTTGGGAGGAGCTGCGCAACGCCACCTACGGCCACTATGAGCCGGGTACGCGGCGAGAACTGACCCCTGGTCCCCTCACACACCGTGACCCGGACCTTTGTGACACCTTCATCCTGAGAACCTCAAGCCACGTTAACCAGATCCCTAACCTTTGACTTCTGACCCTTGACCAGGGCCTACCCCCAATCCCTGATCTCTGGTTTCTCATTCTGACATCCACTGGGGACCTCAGTTTCTTGACCAGGGACATCTAACCGCCCAAGCCCTATCAGCCTGACCTTTGACCTCTGACTTCTCATCTTGAGAACCCCAAAGCCATTTCTTCTGCCTCTGACTCTGGATTCCCACCGCTCCATCACCAGGCCCCAGCGTTCTGCCCCACCACGGCTCTTATCCTCTGGCACCTAAACCCTCACCCCAGCCTCCCCCCTCCAGACTGTTCTTCACATAACCTCAGGGAGATCCTTCCACACTCAGAGCTGACCCTGACCTTCCTCTGCTCACAGACTCCCATGGCTCCCCAGGGTCCTCAGGCTCAACCAACCTCAGCCCCACCTCAGCCAGCCTTCCACTTTCGCTTTTCTACATTTTCTGTCCAAGCTAAATGGATCTTCTGCAGGCCCCCTGAACTCACCATGCTCTGCAAACCTCTGCACTCTGCACATACTGTTGTTTCCTTTGCTGAAAATGCTCTTCCCTTCCTCTATTCCCAGCATGCTGAGTCAGTAAACTGCTCCAGAGTGTGACTTCAGGGCCCAGAGGGCCAATGTCAACTCAGAGTCCATCCTTCCTGACTGCATAACCTTGGGCAAGTGATTTCCTCTCTCTGAGAGTCAGTTTTCTTCATAAAGTGAGGACAAACAAAATAACTCACTGTACTCACTTCTTGTGAGAATGAATTGCAGTTTTGTGGATAAAGAGCTTAGCACATCATCAGCTCTCACTGCAAGGTAGCTACTGTTATTTATTAGTAATCGGTGGAGGTCTTCCTGCCATGATTCCCCTGAGTTAGATCCCTCTATCTTAAAGCCCAGCCCACCAAGACCCCTCCTTCCCCAGGTGAAGAATTTCACGACGTGGAGGATGCGGAGACCTACAAGAAGATGCTGGCTCGGGACGAGCGGCGTTTCCGGGTGGCTGACCAGGATGGGGACTCAATGGCCACTCGGGAGGAGCTGACGGCCTTCTTGCACCCTGAGGAGTTCCCTCACATGCGGGACATTGTGATTGCTGTGAGTGGGGCCTGAGGAATCTGGCTCCCTACCTCCCTTCCTGGGACCTAGGCTTCTGACGCCAAGACTAGCCTCCCAGCGCTTACCTTGGGGGCCCCAGTGCCCACCCTCCACCCCCTAGTGTCTAATCTCTCCTAATCTGGCCTCTCCTGTTCTTTTCTTTTCTTAATATTTATTTATTTATTTGGCTGCACTGGGCCTTTGTTGCAGCACATGGGATCTTTAGTTGTGTCCTGAAAATTCTTGGTTTTGGCATGTGGGATCCCATTCCCTGACCAGGGATTGAATGCATGTCCCCTGCATTGGGAACATGGAGTCTTGGCCACTGGGCCACCAGGGAAGTCCCTGGCCTCCCCCTTTCTGTGATCACATTTGGGATCCAAGCACCCAGCCTACCTTTAGAAAATCACCCACCCCCTTAAGTGCCTTAGAGGAGCCCCCATCCAGGCTGAATCCCAGGAAAATTCCAACCCTAGACATGGAGTATCCACTCTGAGGCCATTTCTGCTTGCCCCCCATCTTCTATTACTTTATGTGTTTTTTTTTTGTTTTTTTTTTTAATGCTAATTCTGTCTGTATTCTAGAGTGATGGGATTTTTTTTCCCCCTCTTCTCCCTTTTCTTTTTTTCCACTGGATTTTAATTTCTAGAGCCATTTTAGGTTCATAGCAAAGTTGAATGGAAAGTCCAGACATTTCCCCTGTCCCCCTGCCCATGCTAGGGGTAGTGAACTTCTTTTACCTCTTTCACCTGGTGGGGGTCTCAGTATTTTTATTACATAAGACATCTCAAAGGATCTTGCTCAGAATATTTTTTAGTATTTATTTTTATGTATTAGGCTGTGCTGGGTCTTAGTTGTGGCATGCAAACTCTTTTTTTAAATTAATTTATTATTTTTATATTTGACTGTGCTGGGTCTTCATTGCTATGTAGACTTTTCTCTAGTTGCCGTGAGCAGGGCCTACTGTCTAGTTGTGGTGAGCAGGCTTCTCATTGCAGTGTCTTCTCTTGTTGTGGAGCATGGGTGTGTGGGCTTCAGTAGTTGTGGCTCTTGGGCTCAATAGTTTCAGCTCCCAGGCTCTAGAGAGACAGATTCTTTACCACTGAGCCACCAGGGAAACCCTCATGCAAACTCTTGGTTGTAGCATATGGAATCTAGTTCCCCAACCAGGGATCGAACCCAGGTCCCCTGCATTGAGAGTGCAGAGTCTTGGCCCCTCAACCACCAAGGAAGTCTCTATGGCTCAGAATATTATCTCCAGCTCTTGAAGAGGAACTTAATGACCAAACTACTATTATTTTGTCCTGTTTGACTGCTTCCCTTTGTTTCTGCATTTTCTCAGCCCCGATGCCTCTTTCTCCCCAGGAAACCCTGGAGGATCTGGACAGGAACAAAGATGGCTACGTGCAAGTGGAGGAGTACATCGGTGAGTGGGACCCGATTCTCCCCCCGAGGACGCCTGTCCTCTCCCCAGCCACGGGTAGCAGCCGATACATATCAGCCATTAGAGCAAAGACCCTCTGAAGTGCGGGCTGCCTGAATCCATTCACCCAAACACTCACTGAGCATCAGTTGTGGGTCAGGCCTGGGAGACATTTACTGATGATGTATACTTGCTGGGTTGGGCACATTAAAAAAGAATCACGTATTCATCTATTTATTTTTGGCTGTGGCGGCTCTTCGTGGCTGTGTGGGCTTCTCTCTAGTTTCGGAGAGTGGGGGGAGCTCCTCTCTAGTCGTGGTGCACGAGCTTCCTATCGTGGTGGCTTCTCTTGTTATCGAGCACAGGCTGGAGAACGTGGGGGCTTCACTGGCTGCGTCACAAGGGCTCCAGAGCTCAGGCTCAGAAGTTGCGGTGCACAGGCTTACTTTCCTTTGGGCATATGGGATATTCCCGAATCAGGGCTCAGACCTGTGACTCCTGCATTGGCGAGCGGATTCTTTACCACTGAGCCACCAGGAAAGCCCTCCAGCAAATCTTGATCAAACACCCACTGTGTGCTAGGCCAAGGAAACATTTATTGACTTCCCTCTGTGTGCCAGACCAGAAAAGCATGTCTCAAGAGCCTACTGTGTGCCTCAGTTTCCTCATCTTGGAGATAATAGAGCATCTCCCATGTAGGAGCTATATATATAGTCAATCCAAAGGCCCATCAATAGATGAACGGGCAAACAGGAGGGGATCCAGCCAGACCGTGGAATATTGTTCAGCTGTAAAAAAGAATGAAGCACCACCCATATAACAATGTGGATCAACCTCGAGAACATCAGGCCAAGTAAAAGAAGCAGACATAAAAGGCCACATAGTACATGATCCCATTTATTTGAAATGTCTAGAGTAGGAACATCTATAGTGATAGAAATCAGATAATCGGTTTCCAGGGGGCTGGAGGGAGGGAGGAATAAGGAGTAGCTACCGAATGGCTACAGGTGTCTTTTGAGGAAATGAAAATGTTCTGGAACTAGAGGGAGGGGCTCCTGCACATTGCGAATGTGCTAAGTGTCACTAATGGTGAATCTTAGGTTGTGTGCTTTTTACCACAACTCAAAAAAAAAAAAAGAACCCCATGTAACTTCCAGTTACTATGGTCATCATTTCCCATAAGAAATGATGACTGGGACTTCTCTGGGGGTACAGTGGTTAGGACTGGCGCTTTCACTGCCATGGCCACCGGTTCAGTTCATGGTTGGGGAACTAAGATCCCGCAAGCTGTGAGATGTGGCAGGAAAAAAGAGAAGCCTGAAGGTTAACTGGGTAATTGTGTGCCCAGCACCTGCCACATTATTTTTTTTCCCCGCCTGCTCCATCTTTGATGACATCTCTAAGACAGCTGCCTGGTTCAGCCCCCAAGGAGAAGAAGGCATTCTGTCCTAATTATGGTGGCTTTGTGTCTGGTATAAAAAAAGACTTGTCTGTTTGTAATGTCTTCCGGATCTATCTGTGGGCCCTTGTAGGTGAAGGGTTTTGCGAACATTTACAAATGATTGCCACAAATGAGGGGCTCCTAGAATTTTGAGGGATGTTCTGGGTGTGGTGAGCTGTTCAAAGTGTAGCTTCAAAAGATCGCCTATAAAAATTTTCACTCATGCCTCCTTCCTATGAGTACCTACTATGTACCAGGCACTGCACACTCTTGTGTCACGGGTGTATCAACCAAATGGATGGATGATTCAATCAATCAAATAACCAATCCATCAGTGAAGTCAGTTTCACGTGTAGCATAGGGATCACCTGGAGAAGGAAATGGCAACCCATTCCAGTGTTCTTGCCTAGAGAACCCCATGGACAGGGGAGCCTGGTGGGCTACAGTCCATGGGGTCGCAAAGAGTCGAATATGACTGAAGCGACTTAGCACACATAGCATGCATGCATAAGGGATCACCTGTAAATCAGGTTTGTTCCTAATCGGATTTAAACAGAAGAGGAAATAGAGGCAAAGGACAGTGAAAAACCAGGGATCCGGAAATGTCAGAACCAGGCTGGGAGGTCTCGGGAACCGCCCCTGATGTCACCCCCTCTCACCCCAACTCCCCGATCCCAGCTGACCTGTACACGGCGGAGCCCGGGGAGGAGGAGCCGGCCTGGGTGCAGACTGAGCGGGAGCAGTTCCGGGACTTCCGGGATCTGAACAAGGACGGGAAGCTGGACGGGAGTGAGGTGGGCCATTGGGTGCTGCCCCCCGCCCAGGACCAGCCCCTGGTGGAGGCCAACCACTTACTGCACGAGAGCGACACGGACAAGGTGCGCGACGGGGGCCGGCGGGCGGGCGGCGCTGGGGGATGCGCAGAAACGACCGAGACGCGGGCCTGGGGCTTTGGGGTTCTTGTTTGCAGAAAGGAAGGGGGACAGAGAGTTTGAGATGGGGAGGGAAAAGAGGGGGGACAGGGACTCAGAGAGAGGGCGATGGAGACCTGGAGGCCATCCTTAGTTTCAGGGAGGAGCCTCCCAGATGGGGTCCATTGCTGGTCCCCTGACTTCTGACCCCCTCAGGACGGGCGTCTGAGCAAGGCTGAGATCCTGGGCAACTGGAACATGTTCGTGGGCAGCCAGGCCACCAACTACGGCGAGGACCTAACACGGCACCACGACGAGCTCTGAGCCCCGAGAGCGCTGCTGCCTTGTCACCTGGGGCGCCCCGGCGGCCAGGGCCCCACCTGTCCAGCCATGCAGGAGGGGGACACAGACCTCAGCGTCCCCCTGCCCCAGGCGCTCCACGGACTCACCACTGGGTCAACTTCTCTCCCTGAGACACTGCAGCCCCTCCCAGCTCCCCAAAGGGGCTCACAGGCCCAAATGATGAGATGAGTGACCACCCCTTTCTCACTGGCAGAGTCTCCCAGCCCAGACCAAGGTCCCCCCAACATAAAGCTCAGCCTCCAAAGGCCTCCACTAACCCCCCAGCTCTAAATCTGAGCCTCACCCCATGCAGTGGAGAAACACACCCCCAAGTGCCCTGAACTTGCCCCCAGCACCTGCCCAAAGGATGTCTCTTCTCTGCCAGGGAGGCAATAAAATCCAGTGCTGGGGCCTCACCTGTGTGTCTCTCTGAAGTGGGGGACAAGGGCCTCAGGGGCTGCGACTGGGAGACGAACGTGTTGGGAGTTGGGGGACCACTGTGGGCTGAAGGAGGGGGCTAGGCATTTGAAGAGGGGGCTCTAGGGGTTGGGAAGGGTTTGAGGTTGTTCCTTAAATTATACATAATGACCCATCTCGGGGAACCCTGTCTCCCAGATTGGTTGCTCAGTCGTGTCTGACTCTTTTCCATGCCAGGCTTCTGTGTCCTTCACTGTCTCCCAGAGATTGCTCAAACTCATGTCTATTGAGTTGGTGATGCCATCTGACCATCTCATCCTCTGTCATCTCCTTCTCCTGCCCTCAGTCTTTCCCAGCATCAAGGTTTTTTCTAGTGAGTCAGCTCTTTGAATCAGTGGCCAAAGTATTGGAGCTTCAGCATCAGTCCTTCCAGTGAATATTCAGCACTGATTTCCTTTAGGATGGACTGGCTGGATCTCCCTGCAGTCCAAGGGACTCTCCAGAGTCTTCTCCAACACCACAGTTCAAAAGCATCAATTCTTCAGTGCTCAACCTTCTTTATGGTCCAAATCTCACATCCATACATGACTACTGGAAAAGCCATAGTTTTGACTAGACGGACTTTTGTCAGCAAAGGGATGTCTCTGCTTTTTAATATGCTGTCTAGGGTTGTCATAGCCTCCCAGATACTGAGCACTAAGTCAAAATACCTGTTTAACTCACAGAAAACCTCCTGACTAGGCTCACCTGTGAATGATTGTGGGAAAGAAGAAATGAACACATCCCCTCCAGGCTCTGACCCAGAACCAGGACTTTCTCTCTCCATTTTTAGTATAAAAGAAGTCTGAATTCTAACTTGGAGAAAATGGTTCTTTGAGACACTAGTCCACCACTTTCTTGGTCTGCTGACTTTGCCCTGACAACTCCTCTCTGGATTTATTGGCCTGTTGTGAGGGGAGCAGTACCAATTTTGGCAAAGCCAACTAGGAGCCTCCTTGCTCCTGGCCAACCTGCCCCTGTTAGGGAATTTTGGGGCAAAACCCTAGCAGCTGTGGGACCACTTGTCCTGAGGATCTTCTCTTCAGAATTCCCCAAAGCAGCACCAGCTGCCGCATAGCTTGGCAGTTGGAGCAAGAAATCAACACGTGGGAGCCGCTGGGTTCCATACAGTAGGGTAAGTCATTTCCGGAGGAAACTTTTTCCTCCAGACTAAGGCAATTTGTTTTGTGTTGAAGTGGGGTACCCTGTTGGAGAGAGGCAATGATTGCTGAGCTTTTCCCTGAATTGTGAACCGGTTTGTTTGTTTCCTGGGATGCTGGTGATTGTGTGTGCTGTGTGTGTGTTATTTTTCTTGTGTTTCTGTCTTTGTAAATTGAGGAATGTTCTGACTATCCCTAAAGAGAACCCTCTAGGGCACATTTTGGGTAGATGATCTGATTACAGCTACAAACCGATGACTGAGAGGCAGATAATACTTAATGGGTAACATTGTGTGACCACAGTACCTGTTAGGATCTCCACAAGAGGGTTGGGGAGGGGTCATCTTGGGACCCTGTGCCCCGTGGACTTTTACCTTTGCTGTGTTAATTTCATTGTCTGTGGTCTCCTGGGTCGTTGGTCTGGCTGGATACAGCAGCTCTCCAAGGAGTCACATTGCACAGGGGTTGAGTTGATGGTTCTTGTGATACGTAAAACCTCGAGGCCAAACTTGAGGATTTATTTAGAGTTTTGCTTGTGGTCTGGGGTTTTTTATTTCATTTTGCTTTTGTACCATTTATTTACACACTGATGTCAAATGGAGGAAAGGCAGACAGACACAGATACACATATACAGACAAACATACAGACACACATGCTGATAGACACACACACACACCTGTCTATCCCTGTCCCACACTGGGACATGCCCAGGGAGAAGAGAAAGGTTTCACTTGGTTCCTAAAATCACTGAAGGCTTTATCCCAGAATTCAGCCCACTTGGTGGATGGCAAGGGGCCAAAAGTCATCTTTTAATGGTTAGAGATGCTCAATTGCTATGTATGGTTTTACGGGGGTCTTTGAATGGCTCTGTAGCTACTCTGTGGTGAAGCAAGGAAGAATAATGGAATTATCTAGGTGCAAGCATTTGTGTATTACATCAGGGTGAGAAAAAGACAGTTGTCACTTAATGGTAATAGAAACCCAAGAGAATATCTCTCATACAGGAAGAAAAGAAAGGCAGCGAGCTGACACAAAGTCAGCCTGCCCACTGAGGACCACCACAGAGGCTTTTCTCAAATGCCTTACGCTGTGGGAAATTTCAGATACCAGCTAGGGCCTGTGGACACTTTTTTTTCAGGATGAGAGGAGGCATATCCCACCCAGACAGAAAAAGCCTCTGAAGTGGTGAAAACCCTCCTTAAAGAAATTATTCCCCAATTGAGATTACCTTACAGCCTTCAATTTTCTTGGGCTCCAAAATCATCGCGGATGTTGACTGCAGCCATGAAATTAAAAGACGCTTGCACTTTGGGAAAAAAAAAACATGACAAACCTAGACAGCGTATTAAAAATCAAAGACATCACTTTGCCGATAAAGGGTCATAGAGTCAAAGCTATGGTTTTTCCGGTAGTCATGTACCGATGTGAGAGAATATAAAGAAGGCTGAGTGCTGAAGAACTGATGCTTTTGAAATGTGGTGCTGGAGAAGCCTCTTGAGAGTCCCTTGGACTGCAAGGAGATTAAACCAGCCCATCCTAAAGGAAATCAGTCCTGAATATTCATTGAAGAACTGATGCTGAAGCTGAAACTCCAGTACTTTGGTCACCTGACGCGAACCGCCGACTCATTGGAAAAGAAAGATCCTGATGCTGGGAAAGACTGAAGGCAAAAAGAGAGAAGGGTGGCAGAGGATGAAATGGTTAGATAGCATCACTGACTCAATGGATGTGAGTTTGAGCAAACTCTGGGAGATAGTGAAGGACAGGGAAGCCTGGCGTGCTGCATTCCATGGGGTTGCAAAGACTTGGACACGACTTAGTGACTGAACAACAACTTCCTTCAAAGGGACAGTATGCTTGCTTTTGTCTCCAGTGTAACCAAACAGATATCTAAAGGACTGCAAATTAATTGGAAAGTATATTCGTCCTGGAGATTACAATTCACAGGAAAAACTGAGAAAATGAATCCTATGTTAAAGAGGAGCATTAGTAAAATATATCATGAGACTAATTTAACTTTGGGTAAGGCCTAGACAGTAATTGTTTTGTCTTACCCAGAGTTTATAATTGTTGTTTGTGGGAGGGTTGGAATTTTTTAATCCCTGTGGCCCAAAGCTTTTAATTATAACATACTGCCACCTAGTGGCAGAAGGTGGAGACTCGGCTTAGGAAGTTTCAGTTCAGTTCAGTTTCTCAGTCGTGTCGGACCCTTTGCCACCCCATGGACTGCAGCACGCCAGGCCTCCCTGTCCATCATCAACTCCCAGAGCTTGCTCAGCCTCATGTCTATGGAGTCGGTGATGCCATCCAACCATCTCATCCTCTGTCGTCCCCTTCTCCTCCCGCCTTCAATCTTTCCCAGCATCTGGGCCTTTTCTAATGAGTCAACTCTTCGCATCAGGAGGCCAAAGTATTGAAGCTTCAGTATCAGTCCTTCCGATGAATATTCAGGACTGATTTCCTTTAGGATAGACTGGCTGGATCTCCTTGCAGTCCAAGGGACTCTCAAGAGTCTTCTCCAACACCACAGTTCAAAAGCATCAATTCTTCAGCCCCCAGCTTTCTTTATGGTCCAGCTCTCACATCCATACATGACTACTGGAAAAACCATAGGTTTGACTAGATGGACCTTTGTTGGCAAAGTAATGTCTCTGCTTTTTAATATGCTGTCGAGGTTGGTCATAGCTTTTCTTCCAAGGAGCAAGTGTCTTTTAATTTCATGGCTGCAGTCACCATCTGCAGTGATTTTGAAGCCCAAGGAAATAAAGTCTGCCACTGTTTCCATTGTTTCCCCATCTATTTGCCATGAAGTGATGGGTCAGATGCCATGACCTTAGTTTTTTGAATGTTGAGTTTTAAGTCAGCTTTTTCACTCTCCTCTTTCACTTTCATCAAGAGGCTCTTTAGTTCCTCTTCACTTTCGACCATAAGGGTGGTGTCATCTGCATATCTCAGTTTATTGATACTTCTACCATATAGGAAGGAGTAGGGCAGATTTGTAGCTTTTTGAGAGCTGCGTGGCCACCTGATGCAAAGAGAAAAGCCGACTCATTGGAAAAGACCCTGACGCTGGGAAAGATTGAGGGCAGGAGGAGAAGCGGGTGACAGAGCATGAGATAGTTGGATAGCATCACCAATTTAATGGACATGAGTTTGAGCCTGATCCAGGAGATAGTGAAGGGCAGGGAATCCTGGCGTGCTGCAGTTCATGGGGTCACAAAGAGTCGGACACAGCTGAGCAATTGAACAACACTGTTTGAAAACATTTTTTTAAATCAAAACAATAGACATAGCAACAAATTTGTAGGGAACAAATTATGATTAAAAGCTGCCCAGGGACTTCCCTGGCGGTCCAGCTGTTGAGA